TTGCGTTATTATTATCATTAGTGGTATTAAGATAATATTAATATTCAATGCCATTCAAAATTATTTTGATAGTATTAAATATTTTATATTATAATTACAATATTGAACATATAAAATAACCATTAAAATGCAACTTTTTTAACCTTTAGTAGACACACTTATTTCTTGTCACGCCATTGACACACTGGGTCTATTTGACCAAAACTTTATCATCGTACCACTTAATAACACTTCAGTCGATATTTCGAAATAAAATATATATTATAAAATTATTATAAAATTTATATTTTTTTATATCAAATTTAAAAACTTTTAATTATTTTAAAAATAAGTTTGTAAATTGGTAGCGTATAGAAATTTTAATCGGATGGAAAGAAGAAAATAGTTTTAATTGAAAAAAAACTTTTTTGATCAATACTAAAATTTTGGATAACAAATTATTTACTTATTACATTTGATTTAATTCTGGATCAGGGTCAAAATGATCCAGTGTATTAATTTAATTTGACCTAACAAGAGACATAATCTCTCCTTTGGTCTGGAGATGTACTTACAAAAAGATATTTCAAAAAAGGCGAAATTTTTATCAACATACTTTTTTCAAGCAGTTGAAAATTTATTGACTATCACCAATTCAAAATGTTTTGAAAAAAACTTAAATTTCTTAATTTTTTATTGATATATATTTTTAATTAATTATATTTTCTTAATAAAAAAATAAAATTTTCTTTTAATTTAAAAAGTATTAAAAAGTTTTTAATTTTTTTACATAACGTAAAAATTTTTTTCTTTATCAAGTACAGTGAAATTTTGAATAGTCTAGGTACTTAATAGAACCTTACTAAAAGCAAGATTAATAACATTAACATAATTTTTTGTAAATTTTTCTTTGAAAATAGCAACATATTTTTCTTTTTGTTTTTAATAAAATTTCAGTAATAATTTCCCTCATAATTGTGAAAAACAAGATATTGGCAAGTCAAAATACAATTTTAACTATGACGCCTCTGTAGCTGGCACTCGATTTTAAATTTTTAATATAACGAAAATTCAAGTGACCTACTTGCACGTACGGTTAACTTACCTGCACTTCTTAAAATTAACTCAAGCTGATTTTATCATTTATATAATCTTGCTTTTTGCAAAAAAAAATAATTTTCCAATAAATAAAAAAAAAATTTTTTTAAATCGACTTAGCAGATTTTTACAGTTTTTATTGCAAATAATTTAGAAATGTCTGAGAATTTTTAAAATTAGAAATAATTAAAAAATACTTATTATCCTTCAAGGATATTGATTTTACCTTTCAGTGACACACTTATTGTTGACGTACGTTTTGGAAAATAAAGAAAAAAATTTTTTGTTAAAAGCATCATATTATTTTGTTTTACTCCTGTTTAAAATACTGCCTTTACAATAGTATCAAAAATTGTAGAATATACCTATTAAAGAAAAAATTCTCATTCGCTCTATTTTTTTATTTCAGGAGAACATTTATTTCAATTTCAAAGTTTTTAGCAGAAATTGCATTTTAAATATATATATTTTTTTTATTTATCGAAAATAAATTTGATTTAAAATAAAAATATTTTTAATGGTAAAAATATTTATCAAACTTTTTGTATATACATACAAAGTAAAAATAAAATTACTTTTTAATAATAAATTCTAATGAACATTTAAAACAAACATATGTTTACAATAAGAGATATAAAAAATTAATAATTGTTTAATTTTTTATAACTTTTTTTATTTCGCCTTAAAACTTTCACTTTTTTATGGTTTTTAATATTTATGAGAACAGAAATTTCTAAAAACGTATAATTTAAAAAATAAAATTTTTAAACTTATTTGTTTGGCCTAATGGCTCAACATTGACCATTCGGCCTAATGACCAATGTTTAGCCATTAGGCCAAAAAATTAAGTTTAATATCTTTATTATTTTAAAGTAATAATCGTTTATTTTCTTCCGTTGTTGTAATTTGTTAAAGTTTTTTAAATCGATTATCGGAAGAGTAGTAAATGAAACACTTGTATCATTTGTGCAACGTTTCGGTGTCTTGGTTTGACACCATCATCAGGCCACTAGTCATTTTTTAAAAAAGTTTAAAAAATTGTTAAAACAAATAATTCGTTACATTTGTAACACGTCTTAAAATTCGTCAATAAAAATAAGATATCGTTAAGACTGAACACTGCCATTTCTTGCAGTCTTGTTTTGTCACTCGCAAGAAATGGCAATGTTCAGTCTTAACGATATCTTATTTTTATTGACGAATTTTAAGACGTGTTACAAATGTAACGAATTATTTGTTTTAACAATTTTTTAAACTTTTTTAAAAAATGACTAGTGGCCTGATGATGTTGTCAAACCAAGACACCGAAACGTTGCACAAATGATACAAGTGTTTCATTTACTACTCTTCCGATAATCGATTTAAAAAACTTTAACAAATTTATTATTTTAATATTTATAATGATTTATATTTAATAAAAAACACTTTTTACTTTATTGAGCATGTTTTCTGTAGAATAATATATTTTTCTATAATTTAAGATGCATTTATCATATTTTTTTCGCTATTTTAAGGTATATTTATAAACATCGTGATTCAATCATTTTAAAATATCGTTTAAAGTTTATTTCTGAATGCCTTATTTTTTATAATTAAAAATGTTTCATTAATAAACGTGGCATTTCAAAATAACTATTTAAGACTATTTCTACAAATACAATTCTGCAGCATTTTAAAATTAAATGATAAGTTATCTATACTACTTTTGTTAAATATTTATAAATATAATTTGTTTAAGTAATATAATACATGAAATACTAATTTGTTCAATTAAATATATAATACATGAAATACTAATTTGTTTCACAATGACACAAATAAAACTTGTAAACTTAAATAACAAAAATACCCAATACAAATATTTCACAGCCAGCACATACAGGAGAACTTAATTCAAGGTACATATAAATAATTACAAAAATTTACTTTATGCAATGATAATATTTAATACATTTCCAACACTGTCAAATTCGTTTTTAATTGCAATAAAATTTACATTCTCTACAAGAAGTTACTATGACAAAAGTATTTATAATTTTAATGAAAAAATTTCAGAATATTAAAATATTTTGATTGAACCAAGTGAACAAAATATATAATCGTATGCGAATATATTTATTAGTAATGAAGTAAAACGAACTTGACAGTTTACACGTAATGAAGTATTTATCTATAATAGATAAAAGTTTGTTATCACAGCTAAATAAGTTTGTTAATATATTATAGACAGCTAAAAAAGTTTCATGTAGATGTTATGTTTCTAAACTTTTAAAGGAATTCTTTTGAATGTTTAATTGTTTCGTTAAATACTTTAGTTGTGGTATCAGACATTAACAATAAACATCAATTATAGCAGTACAATTATACAATTTCTTTCTTCCATTGAAACTTTTATTTAGAACCGAGCATTGAATCCAACTTTTTGTTAATATAATTAGAGTAAATCTCTGTAGAATTAATATTTTTTGTACATTTAAGTCAATATGTTATACATTACATCTCTACTGACAATTTTTAAAGTAATTTTTGGATAAAAATTACAAAATCTTTAAAGTAGAAATAGAAATATTAAATAAAGCTTTGCACAAGATGCAAAAAGTTACAGTACTTGTCAAATTTTACAAATAATGAATATTAGTCCATTATGCAATTTAATAATGAGTATCAATCACACAATTATTACTTTTTCATCATTTATATTTGTAACATTAATGATAGTTTTTTATTTATATTTACTTATTTTTAGAAATTTTTGCTTTTTATTGCACAAATTTTACCATCCGGAGAATTGTAGCCATTGCGATCTTTTGCCTTTAATTATTGTTTAAACCAGAATTTGATTCTGGTATACATAAGCACTATGTTAAAAAGATTTTGGAATAGGGAACATGTTTGGTGTACAACAAAAAATAATTATAAAGAAAAAGTTATAGATATTTTTAAAGCACAAATCGTTCATTCACTCCGAAATTCATTGTTAAGCCCCACAGCACAATATTTTGCTAGAAAGTTTGCTGCAAAATTATCTGGATAAAAATGTTTCCATTTGCAATTTTGTAATTCATATTTGCAGACAGTTGCATTATTTATGGTTTCTCCGTGTAAACTGTCTGCGAATTTAATTTACATTCGTAGCAGAATTGCATTTCGAAATTGCAAGAAGAAAAATTTAAATAAAGATTTATTGTGTAACGATTTTTTTATATTTTTAAATAATAAAAACCGTGACAATAAGAATCAACAAAAAAAAATTATAAAATGAACACAAATACTGTAGTTCTATAAAAAATAAAATATTGAATACAATAATTAGGGCAAGTTTGAAATATATAAAAATAAATGTCTAATATAAATATCTAAAACTTATGATTTGTATTTTTGTTTGTATGTTCATTAATAAAATTTTATTTTCATAACAATAAATCAAGTTTAATATAAACCAAATTCTATAAACTTTAAGAAACCCAGCATTGGATTGGAATTGTTTTAAAAATTTAATAATTTGACCTCAAATTCGTATTCAATGATTCCGAAAATGCCAAATAACATGTTTCAATCTAATTTAATCTTATTAGAAATCCACCATTTTTGGTGTTGAGAAAAATAGATAGCTCGGCTTACCAAAACTTTTTTCTCTGACGCACTGAAAAAAATGATTCAAAATCAACCTCAGATGATATCTTTTAAAAGTTAAAGGTACATTAAATTTATAGCAGTTGAATAGGACTTACTTTTAAATCGAATGGAAATTGTCCACTCTACAAAAGAATCGAACTTTTTTCATTACCATATAATTATATACGTTTAATATTTACTACTGTATAACAGCTTCATATGTACATTAAATCCTCATATTTTGTATTATATTAAGTAACATTTTTGCAGTATCTAAATATTTATCTAATTTTGAAATTATGTTTTAGTTGATTTTCAGTGATGATTATACGAAGGCAATGAATAAAGACTGGCATAGTGGACACTTTTGCTGCTGGCAATGCGATGAATCACTAACAGGACAACGATATGTCTTAAGAGATGAACATCCTTACTGCATAAAGTGTTACGAAAGCGTTTTTGCAAACGGTTGCGAGGAATGTAACAAGATTATTGGAATTGATTCAAAGGTAAATTATATAAAACTTAAAAGAGTACAATTATTATTAATAACTACAAAACTTTGATAATTATCATTTATCTTTGGAAAGGCAAATTTCCAAGAACCTGCACTAAGTGAATCACGGAACTTTAAACTACCCAGGTGCGAATTTAGGTTGGCCGCCAGAGTTTGAAGGTTGGCCCAAGGTTGGCCTAACTTTGGCAAGCAAAGTTTTGGTTGCCAGAGATTGCCCAACTTTGGCAAGTACTAGTGCCCACAGTTGGCCCGACTTTGCAAGCCAACCATTACATGCAGAGTTTAACCAACCGTCGGGCCAACTTTGGCGACAAAGGTTGGCACAACTCATCCAAACGTAGTTTAAAAGACTTTCAGTTTCGGTCGGCCGAACTCTGGGCCACGGTTGGCCCGACGGTTGGCAAAACTCAAGAAAAGCAGTATAATTGACTTATAGTTTTTTGGTCGGCCGAACTCTGGGCCACGGTTGGCCCGACGGTTGTCAAAACTCTGTGAATTGCAGTTTAAATGACTTAAACTTTCTTGGTCGGCCGAACTCTGGGCCACGGTTGGCCCAACAGTAGGCAAAACTCAAGAAACGAAGTTAAATTGACTTAATTTTTCATAGTCGGCCGAACTCTGGGCCTCGGTTGGCCCAACGGTTGGCAAAACTTTGAGAAACGCAGTTTAATTGACTTACATTATTTTGATCGGCCGAACTCTGGGCCACGGTTGGACCAGCGGTTGGCAAAACTTTGTCAAACGCAGTTTAAATGACTTAAACTTTCTTGGTCGTCCGAACTCTGGGCCACGGTTGGCCCGACTGTTGCAGCTTTAATATACATTTTGCGTTATGCACTCCCATGTGAGCGTAGCGTAGTGGTCAGTGTATAAGTCTTCGGTGCGTTAGGTTAGGGGTTCGATCCCAGCGAGCGTTAGATATTTTCGAAAATGTATGTATAAGATTGTGTTTAATAATAATACACTGAGAGACCTTTTGGACTGCAGCGGAACAACGTATGAGATAGCAGCTCCACTATGGTTTTAGCGCGCACGGTGAGAAGCTCACCGAATTAGTGGGGATGCCGTCATTGGTTTGCAGCTAATCAACTTTTGGACTGTCACGCGCCCAAAATTGTACCGCAGCAACCCAAAAGTATAGTCCTGTAGCGTACCACCAAAATGGTCAGTAGCAGCCTATCGAAAGTCTGATGCTGACCCAAAGGTCTCTCAGTGTAGGTAAAGGTTATATCTGATGTTCCCGCTAATAATAACGTGTTAATTGTTTAAATAATTTAGTATTTTAATAATTTTTTACCTTTGGCTGTTGAAGTTGGCCAAACTTTGAAAATTGTGGATGGCCCAACTTACGCATCTAAAGTTGTGCAAACTTTGGCGTCAGTCTTTGGACCAACCATTGAAATGTATAGTTGGCACAACATATGCATTGTAAGTTGGGCCAACTTCCTTATGAGTTGTCGGGCCAACCATCGTCGTCATTAGACGGTGAACCGTTATCATCTGTATGGTTGGCCCAACCTCTGGCACGAGAAGTTGGACCGACTTTGTAAAAGTTGGGAACAACTATGGGCCGACCAAAAAATCGCACCTGGGTACCCAAAAAAATATTAATTGCGATTCTCCTGTAAACCCACGGTTTGAGAACTCTGAAATCCCTTGAGGGAAGTCTGATGTCCCGTTTTGAGAAATCTGGACATCTTCTTCGCGAAATTATGACGACATTCTATGTTGTTGTTGAGGCCCTAGAAATTTATCAGGATAAAAGTATTTTATCCTTTCGCATAGCAAGGCAGCGATTTTTTCCTTGAAACGCTATGTAACCACATCACAGCTGATCTGTGATTGCCATGAAGGACTCAACAGACTTGCTGAAATTGACCGCGTTACTCTTCTTTTGGTCCCTGGTCTCAGTGGATTCATTGGTAATGATAAAGCGGATGAACTAGTCAAAAGGTAGTCGTGAGATTAATGAAGAGCACATGAGTCTCAGCTGACCATTTTGGCTGACTAGCGACCATGTGAGAAGCATTCGTTTATTGTCGGTCATTGAAGGAACATTGTTCTCGGATAAGTAGAAAAGTAGGCACTTAGGTTAATACCTATTGTACCAAACTCCAGTTTGCTCGTTTCAATGCAACTTATTCAGAGTCCTGTTTTCCTCCAGAAGTCCAGTATATCTTCTATCGATAAATTGCTAACTTGTTCAGGGTCAATGATTGTTTAGCCCCAGCTAGAATGTCTGATTCTAGCTCCTGTGGCTATTATTATCAATGCCGTCTTGGAACCAGTTTTTGCCAAGACGTCTACCCTTTTATTACCCTTGATTCCTGAGTGACTCGGTGCCCAGATCAATTAGAGTTTATTTACTAAACCCAACTCATTCAGTATGCTACAGCATTTCCAGACGAGTTTCGATTCTATTGTGGGATTTTTCAGAGCCCATAGGGCGTATGAACACTAAAGAGTCATTAGAAAATAATTCTTAGTTTAAAATATACTTATTAAGGTTTATGTAGCTTATGGCAGGACCCACTAAGGCGCTTTTTGTAATTTAATTATATCGAAATTTATACACTTTTGCTATCACAAAGAAATGTAAATTTAATGTATGTAAACCCTTCAAGATTTCTTAATATAAGCATTTAAAAATTTACCTTTTTATTCATAAGTTCCATATGAGTCCCTGGGCACGTTCACTTATTTCACCAGTTAATACATCTTTTTAAGCCCAACAACTTTTGTCTCAAAACATTTTGCACCAAAATACATATTTTAAGAAATATTTAAGGGGTACCATTCTTTTGCCACATCCTGTATGTGGAAATATATAATGCAGACTACTTCATAACAATGCATTTACTAAATTTATGACTTATTTTTAGGATCTCTCTTATAAGGATAAACATTGGCATGAAGCATGCTTTTTGTGTAATAAGTGCAGAGTATCCTTGGTTGATAAGCAATTTGGAAGCAAGGTAGATAAAATCTATTGCGGAAACTGTTATGATGCCCAATTTGCTAGTCGCTGCGATGGCTGCGGTGAAATCTTTAGAGCTGGTAAGAAAAATTTTTAATTTAATATTATCAAAAAAATTCATCAACGTCCAGTGGATGAACCATTCATTTATACAGTACAGAAACACAACAATATTTAAGTAAAATTTCCTGAAAGTTGAAATTAACTTGACTGCAACCTTCAAAATCTTTAGTCCCGGAGCTCATGAAAATTAAAATAAATATTTAAATGTCCGTAGTTTTTCAATGTTTTGCGCAAAAGATGACTAAACATTGCATGAAAATTTAAGTGAATTTTTTAACAAAAAGAGTATGTTTAATGAAAATTTAAAAAAAGTTTTAAAAAACTTTTAATTTTTTTTAAGAAATTAATTTTAACCACGCAATGTTGAGTCAAGTTTTGAGCTCAAGATTGAAAAACTGCGGACATTTAAAGATTTATTTTAAGTTTCATGAGCTTCGAGAGTAAAGATTCAGAAGGTTACAGTTAAGATAATTTCAACTTTCAGGAAAGGCCGTAGCAGTATAAGCATGTAAAAAGTGCCCCCTCTTGGATTAGGTCCATATTTAGGGAATAAATTTGACCTATTATGAGACTTATTTTCACCAAGTTTCAACTCGAAAAAAAATTTTGCTTTTGAGTTATACAATTTTTTTGAAAAATTCAAAAAAATTCAAAAATTTTTTTTTTCTCCAAAATGGCTGAACCGATTTTTATGAAACAATTTTTTTTGTACAATACAATATAAACAGTTGATAAAAAAAAATTGTCGACCAAATTCAAACAAAAAAAGTCAGTATAAAGTCAGTAAAAAAAAAATTTTTTTTAATTTTTTTAAAAAAACATTTTTTTTTTATTGAAAATTTTTTTACACCACCGCCATTTTTTTACATAAGATAATAGTCATTTCAAAAGTAACATATATTTTTTGCAAGATGTTTGAAAGGGTACTTCATACTTTAAAAAATAAAAAACCAATTTTTGGCCCCTAAATAGTACATATAAACGAGGGGCCAACATTTTTTAAAATTAAATTAAAAATTAATTAATACTTAAATTAAATTTCTAAAAAAGTTAATAATATATGCCTGTTTATTGTATATATTGATTTTTTAGTATGTACAAGATTTATTAAAAAAGTAAATGGACGTACACTATGTACCGTTGGGAATTACCGGTACGGCTGCACGCACACGGCCCAAAAACATGTCAATCTTGAAAACACAATTTTTTTGTAAATACACTGAGAAAACGATTTATTTGATTAAAAAAATTTTTGTTTAAATCAAACTTAAAATATCTTTGCTATACAGTCAAACAAATTTAAGTATAATTCAAACATATTTTTTGGTTCATTTATAGAAATAATTATATTCAATTCAAACATAATTTATGGTTGATTTTAAATTATTTCTAATCAACATTTAACTTTAGATCAAACATAACATTTTTAAACATATTTTTTTTTAACCAAAACAGAAAATATATTTGAATTAAACACAATTATTCAAACAAATATTATTTTTGAATCAAAGCAGTAGATATTTTCTATATATATGTATATTGGGATCTCACGAACCGAATAGGATTTTTAAATTCTTTTGGTCTTAAGTTAAAGATAAAACTTAAATCTAAGTAAAATTCAAATTTTTTCTACAATTTTTAAAAAATATGCCAATGTAGAAAAAACTTCAAGAAAAAATTTTTTTTTTTGTAAATTTTTTTGAAAAGTTGACTAAAATATCAATATTTACAAAAAACAGGCATATATTATCAACTGTTTAGAAATTTAATTTAAGTATTAATTAATTTTTAATTTAATTTTTAAAAATGTTGGCCCCTCGTTTATATGTACTATTTAGGGGCCAAAAATTGGTTTTTTATTTTTTAAAGTATGAAGTACCCTTTCAATCATCTTGCAAAAATTATATGTTACTTTTGAAATGACTATTATCTTATGCAAAAAAAATTGCGGTGGTGCAAAAAAAAATTTAAAAAAAAATTTTTTTTTACTGACTTTATACTGACTTTTTTTGTTTGAATTTGGTCGACAATTTTTTTTATCAACTGTTTATATTGTATTGTACAAAAAAAATTGTTTCATGAAAATCGGTTCAGCCATTTTGGAGGGAAAAAAAATTTTTGAATTTTTTTGAATTTTTCAAAAAAATTGTATAACTCAAAAGCAAAATTTTTTTTCGAGTTGAAACTTTGTGACAATAAGTCTCATAATAGGTCAAAATTATTCTCTAAATATGGACCCAATCCAAGAGGGGGCACTTTTTACATGCTTATACTGCTACGGCCTTTTAGGTGCTATGTGGGCTCATACTTTTTTAATTTTGTAGTAGAAAAATAGTTCACGTTGTCTTAAAACACTTGATAGATATTTCCCAATTTTTTAATTTTCGTTTTTTAAACATTTGCTAAATCTTTAACATATGGTAATTAAATAATTGTAATAATATTGTTATTGTTAATGGATTTTTTGAATTATTCGAGATTAAATAATTATATCTTTATTTAATATATTATGCATTAGACAACCATTTGTTAAAATAGATTCTTCAATTATTTAAAAATTTTTTCTATTAAACTTTTTATATCTAATAGTTTAATTACACGATTTACTAATCTAATAATAATAATAATTATGCTTATTTCATATTTTTAACATTCTACTGTTTTAATAAAAGAAAAAAATTCATATGAACAAAGAACAGAAAATGAAATTTGCCAAACAATGTTAACTACTGTTATTTGTATTTTAAACTGTTGCTAAATTTAAAAATGTTTTTACACGGAAATTTGAGAAATATTTGATGATTTCTAAAATTACACTATTATAGATAACAGTGAAAAAAAACTAAATTACTATGCCGTTTAAAGCTTAATTATACACGTGAAATGATTATCTAAGCTCACCGACTTAATTTGAACCATATAGCGTATCAAGAAAGTAATCAATCTAAGACTTTGAAAATTTGCTAAAGTTCATAGGTTACGAGAAATCGACTTTTCTATAAATTACCTTTGTTACACTTTACCTCAATTTACACCCTGATCTTTTGATTAATTATTTCCTATTGTAGAAAACTTCACAGTTTTTTAAATTAAAAAACTTTTCAAGCATTTAAAATAAAAACTCTTTCCCTCAGTGTGTAAATTTAACTTATTTGCTTTACAATAAATCTTAATTTTTGCTTTAATGCGAATAGATTGACTTAATATTTTTAAAAAGAGAAACAATATACATATAATTTAACATAAGAAAGAAATACTTGCAAAAATTATTTTACATAAAATAAAAAAATTTATAATAAATTCAATTACTATTAGCAAATGGGTGATTTTACTAAGAGGGCTACTTTTGAACTTTGATTTTTTAATTTATTTTTTTTTAATTAAATGGTTCTTTCTATTGAAAATACTTTATTTCATACTCAAAAATAAGAACTTAATAAAGGTGGAAAAAGTTAAAGCAAAATTAATTTATTATTAATTAATTATTTAAGTGCCGTAAAACTAATTGTTAAAAATGCATTAAATTTTCTTTTTCGTTAAAGAAAATTGACTTTGTTGCTCCAATTTATTATTTTCATTTGATTAGCGAGTTTTTCAATCAAAAATACACGCTAATATTATTCACGTAATTCAAAATAAAATAACTCTTTAAAAATGAATAATTTGCATATTTTAATACCAAATATATTCGGAGATGAAACATAAATTTTTTTTCACATTAGGACACAATTAAAAAATATTTTTTAGTAAACTATACAAATATTACACCTCATGTTATTCTTGAAATATTCCATTAACTTTTCTTATATATTTAATTATTATATAATAATAATCGAGATAATCTGTTTTCACGTAAAGTTAGCGTTTTTTTATTCTAAATTGTTTTATAGTTAGAAATGTTATGTCAAAAGTTTGACAGTTAATTTTTAAATAATAAAATAAGTGAAGTAAAAAAATTTTAAACAAATTTCAAAAATTCAATAAAGAAGTACAGTGGCAATTCTTAAAAATAATTAATTATTTATTTTTGTATTCAAACAATTGAATTCTCGTAAGAATTGATTTAAAAAAGAATTTTAGTTAAAACATTAGAAAATAATTAGAAGTGTTAAAGCAGGATTCTTCAGAAATAATTAAATTTAAAAATGCTTGTAAACTTAAATCTTTGAAATTCTAATTGCTGTAAAAGTATAATAATATTTGAATATAAAAAATTATTAATAGTAATAATCGTTTATTTTCTTCCGTTGTTGTAATTTGTTAAAGTTTTTTTAATCAATTATTATGGGAAGAGTAGTAAATAAAACACAAGTGATACAAGTGTTTCATTTACTACTCTTCCCATAATCGATTAAAAAAACTTTAACACAAAAATTATTAATTTATTAGCTTCTTTAAAAAATTAGAAGTTTTGAATAATATTATTCACAAAATACTAAAACAATAATTAAATTTTGGAAGAATTTCGAAATTTTAAGTAAATAAAAAACAATAAGTTTATAATTAAATATTGGAATAGTATGTAAACAAATTTTTTACACGAATACATTCGGACAAGTGGTGAAGTCTACAAAATAATACAGAAAATAAAAATAAAAATAAAAAATACAGAAAACAAAAATAAAAATACGAATTAAATATTAATTTACTTTATAACAATGATTAAAAGATATATTTAATTTGGAATTTAAATTGGAAATTTTGAAAAAATTAGGCTTTTGAAAAATGGTAATTAAAATTTTTTGAACATATACTTAAATTCAAGAAAACAAATTTTAAAAAATTAAAAATTTTGTAAAATTTTATTAAAATGAATTTTACATTTTAAAGAATTTTACTTTTCCATCGTTAAAAATTATCTATAAATATAATTATTCTATTTAAATAATTCAATTCTCGTATAGTTGAATTCTGATAGAAATTGATTTTTAAAAATTAATTAATTAATTAATTAAATTTTAAAAGATTTTTAAATTAAATTCTTTGAAAATTTAAGGGAAGCAAAAGTATAAAAATA